CATGGCAGTCTTCGAGGCCATCTTGGGCGTTTTGGAGGCCTCTTGGGTCGCCTTGGGGAGAATCACGCAAAAGAGCTCGAAGAGCACTCGATGACGCAAATGACGCAACCCTACAAAAAGAAAACAAAGAGAAGGATAACACAAAGGGGTATCAAGAAAGGGTCCAGCGGCCGCACACTCCGCAATAACACGTCCTGCTGCAGGATCGCCGCGAGGAAACGACACGCCCTGGAGAAACAAAAACTAGTCCCACGGAATGCCCTTGTCCGTCTTCGAGCTCCCCGGGCCTCTTCCAGGGCCCCGGGGCTGTGAACAAAGAACAGCTCGCGATGAGACTCTAATCGCGAGCTGTTCTTTGTTCACGGGTCCTCTAAGCATTGTTCGCGAGCTGTTCTTTGTTCGACCCCAGGACTTCCCCACGACGGTCCTCTAATCATTAGAGGACAGTCGTGGGGAAGGTCCTGGGGCCCAGGGTCCCCGGTCCGTTTCCGCCAGGACGCAGTTCCCTCCTGGCAGGTGCCCAACGGAGGTTCGTTCTCCCTCGATGGCCCCAGGGACCCACCTAAGTTCTGGCTCTCCTCGGGTCCTTCCAGCATCGACGAAAACCTGCATCAAAACTCCCCAGGCAATGCTTGCGCTCAGGGGCTCTTACTTCTGGTCTCAGGATCTCGGCCTGGGTTGCCGTCTGGCGGCTCCGCGCTCGCCGTCGCCGCCCCGCCGCCGCCTCGGCGCCGCCCGTCGTCTGGGCCTAGGTGGCGGTCTGGTGGCTCCGTGCTCGCCGTCGCCGCCCCGGCGTCGCCGTCGCCGCCTCGTCACTGCCTCGCATAGATTGTTCCGCATAGATTGCACCGAGTTGATTCTTCTTTCTAAAGAGAGAGAGAGAGAGAGAGAGAGAGACTAGACTCTACCCCCCGCCCCCCCGGCGTTATCCGCCCCCCTTGCGGGTATGCAAATCATATACTTATTTTTCTGACCACATGTCCATCCGAAATATGAATTCCAGACGCTTCGCTTATCCCCACCAGCCCTGCGTCAGCTCTCTCGCCTACGGTCTCGCTCATACCCGGCAGACACCCTGGGCTCTCTGACACTCTTTTTGCACGGAGTCAAGATCCCCAGTGCCCTGTGGCCGTCGGACCGGACACGACCCTTGACTGGGGGTGTGCATCGCGCCATTTTGGCAGCGTAATCCCTGCTCCCTGGGTGCCAGTCTCCCCTCAGACTCCCTGGGCTGCAACTTGCCGCCGCCTGATCCGCGGCCCGCGCGCGCGCCCGGCTAATTTGTTACGGCCGCAGCCCGACCGTGACCTGCCGCCGCCGGCGCTTCCGCCTGCGGCTGCAAAAAAAAAATTATCCCCACCAGCCCATCCCGAAACGATGTCCAGGCGAGTTGAGGTGATCAGGGAAGTGCGGCAGCGAAGAGGAGGACGGCCGAACCGTGCAAAGGAGTGAGGAGGAGAAGGAGGAGGTGGATGGATGGATGGATGAGGGAGTGGGAAGACGGAGGATGAATAGGATGAGGAGGAGGCGGATGAGGAGGAGGAGGAGGAGGAGGAGGAGGAGGAGGAAGAGAAGGAGTAGGAGCAGGAAGGAGGAACAGGAGGAGGAGGAGGAGGGCAAGCACAAGGGCCAGAGGTCTCTTGGATGCCTCTAGGAGCCTCTTGGAGTATCTCTTGGGCGATTCTTGGGGGCCTCTTGAGACGTCTTGGGGGTCTCTTGGCGATCCTGGGGGGCTCTTCGGGGTCTTGGGTGCCTCGGGGGGGGGGGCCTCTTGGGGCCTCTGAGGGTCTTCTTGGGGGCCTTCTGGGGGCCTCTTGGGGGCCTCTTGGGGCCATCTTGGGGCCATCTTGGGACCTCTTGGGGCCTCCTGGGCGCTTCTTTGTGCCATCTTGGAGGAGATCTATCAAAGAAGAGCTGAGCTTTAATTAGCGGTGCCCCCCCAGGAGGCCAAAATGGGGCCAAAACCCTGCTAAAATCAATGATTTTGGCTTCCTCGCCGAGGCTGTTTTGGACGCTCTGACCGCTCCCCGCCCCTCCTGTCCAGGTCAGTGGGGAGGGGGTAGGGGGAGGGGTAAACCCCTCCCCGAAGGGGAAGAGGGGTGGAAGAGGAAACGCCCTAAACCACCGACGCCCAGAGGGCTGGTGGGATTTACACTATCCCAGGGGGGCCGGTATCGGCCCCCCTGAGGTTCCCTTGTAAAAAACAATACGCGGGGACATTGTTTGTTCACGAATCCCTTGCAAAAAACTGGACGAAGTGCGCACGCGCGCGTCGTCGCGCGCGCATGCCGAAATCCTTCAAGAACCTTCGGTGTCGGAAGGATTTCGGAATCGAGTTTTTAAAAAACATACAACAACAGGGTATCGCAACACTGATTTGCTAAAAAAAGCTTACGCGCGAGCTCTTGCGAAGTCTTCAGAAAACCATCGGTTTTTCAAGATTTTCACAAAATGCTACCAAACGGGATTCGCGCGCGCGCATGTCGAAATCTGTGAAAGAGCGTGTTCTACCGCTGCTGGCGGGAACCCGGGGGGGGGTCACTACCGGTTCGAACCCCTCCCCCCCCCCCTCCAGAAAACCCGGGGGGGCCACTACCGGTTCGAACCCCTCCCCCCCCCCCTCCCAGTTCATCATGAAAAGGGGGGGGGGTCACTACCGGTTCGGAACCCCCCCCCTCCCCCTCGAACTCGAAAACCGGGGGGGGTCACTACCGGTTCGAACCCCCCCCCTCTCTCCCTCGAAAACCGAGGGGGCAGGGTGGGGACATGGTGGGGACAGTGTGGTGGACAGCGGGACAGTGGTGGGGACAGTGGTGAGGACAATGGTGGGAACAGTGGGACAGTGGGACATTGGTGGGGACGGGGTGGGGGGACATTGGTGGGGGACAGTGGGAATGTGGTGGAAACAGTAGGACAGTGAGAGGGTACAGTGGTGGTGGAGAAGGGGACAGTGGTGAAGGCGGTGGCGAGGACGGCGGTGGGACAATGGGACAGAGGTACAGTGGGGACAGTGGTGGGGACAGTGGGGACTGGTGGGACAGTGGTTCGAACCAGTAGTGACCCCCCTTCGGTTTTCGAGGGGGGGGGAGGGGGAGGGGTTCGAACCGGTAGTGACCCCCCCCGGTTTTCGAGTTCGAGGGGGGGGAGGGGGGGGAAGGGTTAGGGAAGGGGAAGAGTTTTGCCGGGGGAAAGAGTGTGGGGGGGGGTCCAGCAGGGGGGGGGGGGTTCGGAGGGGGGGGGGGAACCCCGGGTTCCGGAGGAAAAGGGCGGCAATTTTCCATAGTAAAGCGGCGGTGGATCACGCTCTCTCAAATCTGTCGAACGCCCTTGCGCGTGTATCGTCGCGAGAATCCTCTTGCAAAAAATGGGACGAAGTGCAGACGCGCGCGTCGTCGCGCTCGTATGCCGAAATCCTTCAAAACCCATCGGTGTCGGAAGGAGTTCAAAATCGTGTGTCCAAAAATCATACAAAAACACAAGGTTTCGCAACACAGATTTTCAACAAAAGCGTGCGCGCGCGCTCTTGCGTCGTCGTCGTCGTCGTCGCCGTCCTCTCTCCTCCTGCGTCGTCGTCGTCGTCGCCTACGTCGTCCTCTGTCTTTCCTCGTGTTCGTCGTCGTCGTCCTCTTTGGCGTCGTGGTCGTTTCCGTCGTCGTTGTCGCCGTGGTCGTCCTTCCTCCTCCTCCCCTCGTCGTCGTCGTCCGTCGTCGGCGTCTCGTCGTCGTCCCTCCATTTCGTCGCCGTCGTCGTCGTCGTCTTGTCGTTCGTCGTCGTCTTCCCTCCTCCCTCGTCGTTGTCGTCGTCGGCGTCGCCGTCCTTCCTCCTTCTTCCCTCGTCGTTCGCGTCGTCGCCGTCCTCGCTCCTCCCTCGTCGTTGTCGTCGTTGTGTCTTGTTCGCCGTCGTCGTCGTCCCTCCTCCCTCGTCGTCGTCTTCGTTGGCGACGTCGTCGTCGTCGTCTTCGTCGTCGTCGTCGGCGTCGGCGTCGTCGTCGTCTTCGTCGTCGTCGGCGTCGGCGTCGTCGTCGTCTTCGTCGTCGTCGACGTCGGCGTCGTCGTCGTCGTCGCCGCCGTCGTCGTCGTCGTCGTCGGCGTCGTTGACGTCGTCGTCGTCGTCGTCGTCGTCGTCGTCGGTGTCGTCGGTGTCGTCGGCGTCGGCGTCGTCATCGTCGTCGTCGTTGTCGTCGTCGTCGTCGTCGGCGTCGGCGTGGTCGTCGTCGTCGGTGTCGTCGTCGTCGTCGTCGTCGTCGTCGTCGTTGTCGGCGTCGTCGAAATCGTTGGAAACGTCGTCGGTGTCGTCATAGTCGTTGGCGGCGTCGTCGTCGTCGTCGTCGTTGTCGTTGTCGTCGTCGGCGTCGCTGTCGTTTCCAAGTGCCATTTGGTACTCACCGTCACGGTCTCAAGAGATTTTGCAAACCAACTTGCGGGTGGGTGGGTGGGATGTTTGTGCGAGCAGTGGAGTGGGCAACTCACTGCGAACAGAAATTAATTGCACCGCATAGATTGCACCATATGGATTGCACCGCATAGATTGCACCACATGGATAGCACCACATGGGTTGCACAACATAGATCGCACCACATAAATTGCACAGTATAGATCGCACCACAAAGTTTGCACCACAGAGCTTCCACCAGATATGAATTTTTATTAACACACATATATATATATATATTGCACAACGCCGATCGCACAAAACACAGATCGCACGACACATATTGCACAACATAGATGGCACCACATATATCGCACCACAAAGGTTGCAGCACATCTATTGCACCGCATAGCTCGCACCACACATGCTGCCCCACAGGGATTGCACCACGCATGTTGCTAGAAACACCGTGTATGGCTTCCACGCTGGCGAACTGCTGTTGTCGCAAGCTTCCTTCTGACCTAATGTCGCGTGTGCCTGTTGTGTTCTTTGGGGGTTCTCTCTCTGAGGAGGAGGAGGAGGAGGAGGAGGAGGAGGAGGAGGAGGAGGAGGAGGAGGAGGAGGAGTCTCTCTCTCTCTCCCTCCCTCCTGCCTGCGCGCGTCCGGCCTCTGGCGGCACCGTCGGCCGTGCGGGCCGTGGCCGCGGCGCGGCGGGGCCGACTGCCAGGGGACCTCCGCCCTGCTCGAGCGCGGCGCGACTGCGGCTTCGTGGGGCCGCGCGCGTGCGCCTCGTCTCTCGGAGGAGGAAAAGGTACGGTGGGTTTGCGTCGCGTCGACCAGCGGCGACCCCAGCGCGGGCGTTCAAGGTTGAACGCCGCCGGCGACCCAGAATCGATCGATGTTGAACGATCGGACGTTGCGGCAGCGGCCGATCGTTCAAAGTTGAACGATCCCTGCGGTGTCAAAAACCAACGCTGGGGTCGGGACGACACGAACCTGCCGTACCCATGCTGCTACCCTCCGCCCAGTTTCCGTTTTTTGGGGCCTCCTCGGGAGCCCTCGTCGCCACCGCTGGATTCGCCTCGAAATTCTGGTCAGAACGCACCCCGGGAGAGGTCCGGGGAGCAGCGGTATCGGCACCTTTTAGACTCCCCAGTCTCAGGGCGCGCGCGCGCGAGCTGGACGTGCGTGGGCCTGGCGAACTTGGTCAGAGGAGGGCGAGCTGAGGCAACGGTAGTTGACCTTCGGGGGGGTCTGTCGTCGCTGGGGCTGGGCGCGGCTCGGAAAGCGGGCGCGTCTGGCCCCTGGGAGGAGTCCATGGGCCAATTTTGAATTTTGAGTTGCCGTTGTCTGCACCCGCCTTGCTCTGACTTGGGCTCGTCAGACGTGAGCTCGCCAGACCTGCGTGCGCCAAGCGGGGGTGCCAGACCTGAAGCGCGTCAGGCTTGTACACCTGGCGTCGCATGGCGGCTTCGACGCCCACCACACGGCGGAAGGTGAGCTGACATCCGTTCTTGCCATACTCTTCCAGGACACCGCGTGTGCTCTGTGAGTGCTGGTCCGTCAGCGGTGATGGTGTCCTTCCTCCTGGCGGCTCGTATTGTTTTAAAGCGTGCAGGCAGACAGCGGGCAGCAGCGGGGAGGAACACAGCGCCCCTCCTCTGTCCACGTTGCAGTGTAGTGTCTAGCTCTTTCTCCCCATCTGCATTATGCTTGTAGGCGCGCGCTGGTCAGTGCGTTGAGCCGACGGCATCGCACTTCCTTGAACAACCGCTTGCGGAAATACACTTGTTTGGAATAGGCATGGGATTCACGGATTGTTCACCTGAGCGCATTTGTTTCCAAGCGGTGGAGCGATCATTTAGACAATGGATTACCCGGCGCGGTCAGCATCGGAAGATCCCAGCCGCATTTGTTTGGTTCTTTCCTGATGCCCTCAGTGTTGGATTGTTGTCTTGCTCTGCGATCCCAGGGCGTCTGACTCGCACGGCGTGGCCACTGTCCGTAGTCCGACGTTCATTTGAACTGTCCTTGCCATACCATATGTCGCGTATGATGCTGGTTGCGCGGAGTACAGCAGCTTCTTGGCCACAACGGCATTGCTTTGCCATGTTCTTCCTTTACGCGTCCTCTCTTTTTAACCGTTCCCGATCTGTGCGATGGGCATCGGCCGCCTAGGTCCGATGTCTTTGAGCTCGCGGCGGATGTGCGCCTCGACTTGACGCAGATCCCTGGAGAAACCCGCTTCGACAAGGCTGGGAACGGGTGCTTCTCTAAGGGGCAGAACCTTGAGATCTGACGTTGCAAAAAAATGCACCATGGGACAAAATCACAACCAGTGCCCCAGAACCCATCTTTCTGCGTCATTTCTCGAGCCGGATCGATCTGTGAGGGTCCCAGGGCCCGAAATTGAGCGAAAACGCCCCTTGTGAAAAAATTGCAACGCCAGGATCTCAGGGAAGGGTGGTGCCCCAGGCATGCGTCGGTTGAGACTCGGGCCTGCGCGCGTGCTTGCAGCTCCGATGAAGAGGATGGCGACGGTGGTAACGACGGTGATCTGCTGACGATGCCTCGCGCGTGACGCCGCTCGTTGCCTCGACACCTCCGAGATTCGTACCTCCTCGATCGGGGCCGGTGCAGCGCGCCCGCAGCGAGGGCCAGGATCCTTCGCGCGAGCGCCAGGCCGCCCCGCCGCAGAGGCCCAGGCCCTGCTCGCTTGCCTCGGGCGGCCCGGGCGAACATCACCGCCATCGGGACGCCTCGCCGAAGGGCTCGGCTGTCGTGCTGCCCCTCCTCCTCACCCCTACTCGGCATCGCTCGGACGTGTGCATTTTTCCTTCGGCGAGGACCATCGAGGAGCATCCTTGATCATTTGGCGAAAAAACCTCGCACGAAACCGAAAAAAACACAGAATGGACGTCCGAGCGATGGCGAGCCTACCAATCTGCTTCCCAGACGGTGGGGGTGTTAGTCAGGGAGTGTTCCCGGATAGCTCCCTGGAGAGCTAAGAGGGTTTCAGACTAAGAAGCCAGAGCCGCAGGGTAGCCCCGGAGATCGTTCCGGCGGCGGTCCAGGCTCCCCGGAGCGAGTTGTTTGACCTCGCAGCGGGTCCCGAAGGGCCTTTTCTAAGCGTTTCCAAGTACGCGTGCCCGCAAGCTCTCCAGATTCGAAAACTCTCTCCATGTCCTTCCAGAGTGCTTCGCCAGGCTTTTCCACGCCCTTCGGGCGCCCTGCTATCCAGGTTTTGGATTACTCAAGTGCCCAGGAGGCTTCAGACCCTGGGGGCTCCCTTATCTAGCAAGGGCGGCCGTGATTTCCATGGCCAATCTTCGATCGAAGTTCCACTGGCTTCCAGACCCCGGATTCTTGATCGCGGGCTTCCTTGTCCAATGCCATCGCCGTCTATTTTGTTCTCGCGCGCTGGCCCGACGGCCCAGGCCAGAGTGACCAACGGCAAGCTCTGCCGTGTCGTCCAGGAAGCGGATCCACTGCCGCTCTCCTCCAAGTTCGAGCTCTATGCGAACGGCGGCAGCTTCAAGATGTCCAGGGGCGCAGCAGCCCCCGTGATCTGGCTGCCGCGCCGCTGCCTCTGGGCCCTCTGTGCTTTCGCCCTCCCTCGCGTCGCCTCCTCTTCCCGTCGTCATCCCATCCTTCTCCCCGTCCCCCCTTTCCCCACCTCTCTCTTTTCCCCACCCCTGCCCCTCTCCATCCCTATTATCCCCCCTCATCGCCCTCTCTCTCTCTCTCTCTCCCACTTCCGGTTCTGGTGAGTTGACCCAGGTTCCCCACTGGACTGGCCGAGATCTCCTGATCGATCTGGGAGCAGATATTCCACACAGCAATGATCACCTGACTTGGATGGACGTGCGGTGTTCCAAGCCAAGAAGGCTTCTGAACCAAGGTGATTATGCTCTTCGATGCCGTGTGTTCCGATGATATCAACTTGTCGGCGGTAGAATGCAGTCCTGTTTCAAACGCGTATGTATCTATATCGACAGCCACAAGTCTTGCGAACGGAGCGCATGATGGAATGACGCGGGAGCGGGCGACTATAGGCAGCTGCAGGAAGGGAAGGATGCTGGACATTAGCGACCTCTCCCCGCCCCCTTGCCCTTCCATCCCGCACTGCCTCTCCCTCTTGTCCTTCCTGCCTGCCCCTTAGCCCCCCCCCCCCCCCCCTCCCCCCGATTTCCCCCCCCATCCCATGTTCTCCCTCCATCCTCCCGCCCTTCCATGCAAGCTCCTCTCCCCTTTGGCCTGCCTCCCTCTCCTTCCTTTCCTCCTCTCCCTCTGGGGGCCTCCCCCTTCTCTTCACTCCGTTCCCTCCTTTCTCCTCTTCCTTCCCCCTCCTCCTCTTCCTCCTCCTCTCCTCCTCTCCCTCCTCCTCCTCCTCAATCCCCTCCCCTCCCTCCCCTCCCCTCCCCTCCCCTCCCTCCCCTGCCCCCGCGCCCCGTTCCTCCTCCCCTTGTGCCCTTGCTCCCCCTCCCCCCCCTTGTCACGCACACCTCCCCCCTCCAGCGCCCGCCGCCCTCCCAGCCTCCCCGCCCCCCCCCCCCCCCTCTCTCCGCCCCCCTCCCCGTGCGAGCCTCCCCCCCTTCCGGCCGCCGCCCTCTCCTCCTCCGTGCTCCCTCGCCGGCCCCCCTCCCTGCCGCCGCCCCGTTCTCCGCCCCCCCGCCCTCGCATTCCCTCGCGAGAGCTCCGCTCTCGAGGCAGGGCTGCCCTCGACAAAAAAAGCACGCTCAGCGACTTCTCTGCGGCAGCTGTTGCCCCCCCCCCCCCTTCGCGAGAGCTCGCACTCGGGGGCAGGGCTGCCCTCGACAAAAGGCACGCTCGGCGACTTCTCTGCGGGGCAGCTTTGCCCCCCCCCCCCCTCGCGAGAGCTTCGCCTCGAGGGCGAGAGCTTCGCCTCGAGGGCAGGGCTGCCCTCGACAAAAAAACACGCTCAGCGACTTCTCTGCGGGCAGCTTTGCCCCCCCCTCCCTCGCGAGAGCTTCGCCTCGACGGCAGGGCTGCCCTCGGCAAAAAGCACGCTCAGCGACTTCTCTGCGGGCAGGTGTGCCTCGAAGGAGGCGCGCCTTGCCGCGCAGCCGTCGTTCCTTTCTGGTAGTTGTTCTTTGTGCGCTTTCAGCTGCCCCACAACCGCCGATCATGCTTTACAAGCGTCGACAATGCGCTCTTCCTCGTTTGGGCACTCCTTTGCTCCCCATGTTGGTTTTCCGTTTGTCTTCGGTATATGCCCCAGGGTACATTCTGGTCAGTTTTCCGATGCGCGTCCAGCCGCAGCGACGATAACCGCCAGGGACGCCCAACAATATCCGAATTGACGGCGACTGTCGACGACGACGGACGACGACGACAGCGGCGACATCCGAGGTCGGAGAACTTGGCCGAGAATTGGCGTATCGGGCAGCTCTCGCTGGAGGCGATCCGGGTCCCGAGGACGGACGTGTTCTTGTCGGTGGCCGATGCGGGTGCGCTGCTGGGCATGGTTTCCGAGGTCGATGAAGAGTTTAGAATTTGGATGGCCTTCTTCTTCATGTTGTGCCCCTCCCCCTCCCCTCCCCCAATTCCTCCGCCTGCTCACCCTCCTCCTGCCTGGAAACGGTATCCCAGATCGATGGGGGTAATCCATTACGTTTTGGTAGCAGAAGACCCGAAACCACATACGTGACCAGACAACTACCTTGTGACGCAGCCAACCCACCTGCACAATGTGACAAGAGCAGCTTGTACACAACAGTATGTTGGCAACAAGACAGGTTCTTTCATTGCTTGTACATGCTGTATGGAAAGCGCGCGCAATGCGCGACTCACGGGACAGCAGTTCAGGGCGAAGACTGAGGCCCCAGGACCGAAGAAGAACTGGGGGCGGGAACGAGGGGCCGGAAAATGACAGAAGAAGGGGCGAACTGTTCTCGCAACAACAGCGAAACGGTGGAAGGAGGGAGAGGACGATAATGAAGGAGGCAGGATGAGGACAGGGTGGCGATGGTGTTCCCATCGCACGCTGGACTAGCAGAGCGGCCTACGCCATGTCGCTCTGGTAATCCAAAGGATCAGCTGTTCATCGCTAGTGCAAGAAGCGAGCGAGGCCGAGCTCGCCCGCCAGGTTCCCCGCTGCCTTCCTGCACCTTACAAGACGGGAACTGAACGCCAGCAGGCGCGCTGCCAAGTCTTCGGGCGGCCCGCGGCCAACAACTGACGGGTACTATGGATCCGCCTAGGGCGTCATTCCTCTGGACCATCAAGCAACCCTTGAGATTGGCGACAGTTTCGCACTTCCTAACCCCACAGGGACGGCGAGGTCGAATCTGGATTTGCGCAGGGCGTCTTTACGGTGGACCCCCTGCCGGAAGTAGCGACGGTTTCGCATTTCGCCCCTCCCCCCCCGGGGACGGCGAGGTCGAACCTGAATCTGCGCAGGACCGCATCGCAGTTTGCAGCCCCCCTGGACGGCGAGGTCTAATCTGGACCTGCGTCGGAAAGCGGCGGCCGTTTCGGCAGCCGAGGTCTGATGTGACCCGCTAAGGGCGTCATTCCGCTGGACTCCAAGCAGCCCTCGACCGTGACGACAGTTCCGCAGTTCGCTGCCCCCCCAATGATGACGTGGTCCATGTTGAAGCCGCGTGCACTGTCATTCCGCTGAACCTTTCCAGCAACGCTCGAACGTGCCGACAGTTTCTCAGATCGCAGCCCCCCCCGGTGTGGCGAGGTTGCATCTGAACCCGCGTAGGACGCCAATCCAGTTGACATCCAGCAGCCCCCGAATGCGGGCGCAGTTAAG